CTCATTGATCTAATAAGTGACTGAGAAGGGGACCAAAGTCTTCGATGAAGGCCACCAGCACAGAGGAGGTCTCTATATAAGAGGTCTGAGGTCCCTTCCCAAGATGAAGTCTTGATATGAGCAGTTCTCCAGAGAGACCACAGAAAAGGAATCAGCACAGAAGCACATTCCTACACACTGCGTCATGGCTGGCTGGGAGGCTCCAGGAATTACTGAACCGCATCCCAAGTCTGGATTGGTATAGTAAAAAAAAACGTCCAGCTCAGCCTAAGCTCACTCCCGTTATAAACTGGATCTCTTTACTTGCTTTGCTTGCTCAGATTTGACCCAGGAAATGGCCTGAGTTCAGACCAAGAGATGAGGCTCATTGATAAATCTGGCTGTAAGAGCTGAGGAAGGCAAAGGTAGGTGAAATGAGACAGCAAACTAACACCAGAATCCTGACCCACAAAGGGAAGGGCCACGTGAACCAATGATTCTTAAATTTCACTGTGCATTGAATTGTTCGAAGAGAGAGACACCTGGGTGGCTCAGTCAGTTAAGTGTCCAACTCTTGGTTTTGGCTCAAGTCACGATTTCGAGGTTCGTGAGCTCAAGCCTCATGTCAGGCTCTGCGCTGACAGTGTGGAACCTTTTTGGGATTCTCTCTCTCTGCTCCTCCCCTGCTTCTGCTCTCTCTCTCTCTCTCTCTCTCTCAAAATACATAAACTTAAAAAAAGAATCCCTTGAGGAGAGGAGCACCTGAGTGGCTTAGTCCATTGAGCATCTGACTCTTGATTTTGGCTTGGGTTGTGATCCCAGGGTCATGGGATCAAGCCCCACATCGGGCTCTCTGCTGAGTGTGGAGGCTGCTTAGATTCTCTCTCTCTCTCTCTCTCTCTCTCTTTAAAAATAAATTAAATATTTTAAAAAATGAATCCCTTGAGGAGCTTGTAAAATTCCACACCCAAAGATACAGATTTATCTGGGGTGAGATCCAAGAATATTTATCTATTTAATAACCTTTGTTCTTTCCGAACAGTTTTAGATTTGTTGAGTTACTGCAAAAAATAATACAGAGAGTTCCTGTATACCTCACGGCCACTTTCCCCTATTAACACTTGACATTAGTACGGAACACTTGTGACAATTAATGAACTAATACTGAAACGTTAGTATTAACTTATGCCTTTACTTCATTCAAATTTCTCCAGTTGTTCCCTAATGTCCTTTTTTCTAGATCAGGAATCCATCCAAGATACCTCATTACATTTAGTTGTCATGTCTCCTGAGGACCCTCTGAGTTGTGACAGTTTTGAGGATTACTGGTTAAGTATTTTGTAGAGTGTTTTTCAATTGGGTTTGTGTTGAGGTTTTTCTCATGATTAGACTGGGGTTATAGATTTTGGAGAAAAAGACCACAAAGGCAAAGAGTCCTTTTCATCACATCATATCAGCGGCCCATGCTGTCAACATGACTTATCGCCGTTGATGTTGTCCTTGATCACCTGGCTGAGGTTTGTCAGATTTCTCCACTGTAAACTTATGCTCTCTTCCCCCTTTCCATATTGTTTTCTTTGGAAGAAAGTTACAATGCACCGCCCACACTTAAGGACTAGAGAGTTACACTCCACCTCCTTGAGGATAGGGGACTCACTGCATCCTTTTTATTGTGGTAAGATCTACACAACATAAAACTTACCAAGTTTTAGATGTTACGTTGATTAAGTTTCTCAGTAATTCTAATGCACGCCTAGGTTTGAGAACCACTCTGACACATGGAGGGAGGGGGCAGTGGAGGGACACCAAAGTGTTTAGAATCCCACCAAACTTCAGACCACCTTCAGACACCTTCAGTGGATGCTTTGGGGAGCCACCTGTACCCTTCTAACTCTCTGCCCCTTCCTGCCGCTTCTGTAGGCTTCTCTGCAGTTGGTTGCTGGGATGGAGGACATCCTGGTCTGAGTGGGGACATGCAATAAATGAGTAGATGGAAAAAACCCTTGTGTTCACATTTTTGTGTCTCCCACAGCCTCAAACACGGTGGTTGGCACAGACGATTAGAGACAGTTCATTAACCAAGGAAAACACTTGATTTATAATGTCAGATTTCACAACCTGCTATAGGCAAATTACTCCCCTGATGCCCAGGTACGGTTGACCTGTCGCAGAGCTATGATCTGTCTCAGACAGTGCCTCCTTCTTTGAATCATATGCTCATCCTCTTATTCGTTTCCTGAGAAGAGGGGGTCCAATCATTATGACCATTTGGAAGAAAGTAGGAAAGGAGTTACTTGTTTCTGTTAAAAAAAAAAAATGTGGTCTTCACCTTCTCCAGAAGCCTAAGAACGTGGACAAAAAGGGAGTCTGTTCTGGAAGCAACTTCTCAATACATAGTTCCTCACCTATCAGTCAACATTTGTTGAAATAAGAACCCGGATGTGATGATCAGTGAGGAATGCTGTTATAAGAGCTTAAAGATAGGACCAAGTGTTTGGCTGTGCTAATGGATACACATTATTGACATTGACAAACATTAAACAGGTTTCAGCAGCAAATAGTGCTTGCTTTCAATATTAAAGAAACAAAACAGAGGAAAGGGTCAAATATTACTCTAAGACATTCCTGATCGCCTACTGAATTTTTACAGTGGCCACATCTCCCATCGTGACAGAAAAGCTTAAGCGTGGGGAGAGGGTGTCAGGAGAAAAAAATGAAGGCTTTAGTCACCACTGCTGTGAAGAGCCAAGGAAATAGAAATAACTGGAATACAGAGGGCGACGCAGAACCCCGTAGCTGTGGCTTTGTGGCGTGGAGCAGTGGGCAAGGCACCAGTGGAGAGAGCTGCACAGAGGACAGGAGAAACCGCGTTGGCAGGCTGTGTCGTGTTGTGCAACTGGATGGCAGGCCGGGACAAATGAGTGCAGGCAAGAACGCAGCCAGCCAGAGTCAGAACATCTGCTGAGGAGAAGCAGCTCTCCACACTGCAGAGCCGAGCCGGAGTTTGCAAAACAGGAAAGGAACTTTCGGAAACACAAAATTCCAACAATGAGCTGCCTCTCTTTGTGAGATCCTTTGTTCGTGCCCCGTTCCAGAGACAGCAACAGAGATGCAGCGTTCTGAGGATGGTGCCTCGATTTGGGCTGTAGCAGGCAGCTGGGAAATGGTGAGACCGGAGGAGACTTTTATTCTATTGGTTGAAATTCTTTGGTTGGAATTAACCTAATGTTGGTCCTGCATTTCGATTGGCAGAGAATCTCGTCTTCTGAAATAATTCAAAGTAATGTGCCCTGATGTAGCAAAAGCATGCCTCTCTTGGCAATGTTTTCTGAATGAGCTCAGAAGTCTGCGGACAGCAGCCATGGGCAGTGCAGCATCCCTTCAGTTTAGGGCATCTAGGGATTCCATTTATTTTCATTTATGCTAATGAAAACAAATAGAGGCAGTCAGCTATGGGGAAAAGAGACACTCCCGCTCCTATAAAGGACCAGGGTCTACTCTTCCTGAGGGCTGCGATGGGCAAGCCCATTAGCATGGAACATTTAAATAATTGGGAGAAACACCAGGAGAATTCACAGAAAGCACGCTGGCCCGTGGCTGCTTAAACGCATCTAGGGAACCTCTCTATCCCTAAGTAACACACGTGCACACACACGCGTACTGTATGTGTACTGAAAGAGACAACAAAGAACAATTTCTGCTTTCTCCTTCACCATTTTCCACAGCTGTGGTCATTTATATTTCCATTTAAAAAAGGAAAAGAAGAGCAAATGTTCTCCAGATAGTTAATACCCCTGAAAATTGATAGAGAGTAAAAGAGAGAAATTTGTAAGTCCATGGTACCCATTTCATGGGAAGTATATTTTCAAGGCATTTGCCGCTTCAAAAAATATGGTTAAAAATCCTATGTTCTTTTTTTTTAAGTTTATTTATTTATTTTGAGAGAGAGACAGACAGAGCACAAACTGGGGAGGGGCAGGGAGAGAGGGAATCCCAAGTAGGCTCCGTGTTGTCAGCATAGAGCCCCATGCGGGGCTCGATCCCAAAAACCATGAGATCATGACCTGAACCGAAATCAAGACTCGTTTGCTTAACCGACTGAGCAACCCAGGCGCCCCAGAAATCCCTATGTTCTCGACAGCAGAAATCCACCCCTTCTAGCCTTTCATCACCCAGATAAGGACTTTAGGAAAGGAATTGAGATGTCTAACAGGAATATGGTGTATTATTTTGAGATAGTGCAATGACACCTGTCCTTTATCTGTCCACAAAATCCTCAGAGAAAATATCCACTTCCACTCATGTGTTGTAGAGCTGGTTCTGTTTTGGGGAACGTATCTTAAGGGCCAACTATGAATTCAAAGTGGGCGTAAGATAAGAGCCAAGGAGTCAGATGGAATATGAGCTACCCTAACATGTTTTTATTCCATCTGAGTTTCTGTATTTGCGTTTTTTAAAGGCTGTATTTGCTCTTTTTATCTCTTGACAGCTACAAACTTGACTGTCGATGATTTGCCTCCTTATGGAACTAAGTGGGGGATATTTCTAATATTGTATTAGGCAGGTGCAAACAACAGAATGTAATTTGGTTGTTTTGACTAAAGGAGATCACAGATAAAGACAAAAGGTGTTAGCCCAAATAATCATTTCCTGGAGAAATGGTCAAAATCGCATCCCAGAACTGGCCTGAGGAAAAACCACTTCTGCTGCGCCAGCCAAGCACTAAATGCCAAGAATTTGACTTTCCTTAACCATTAATGTTGCCAGCCACCTTGCTACTCAATTTACAGCACTAGACCCAGAACTACAAATGTCCTGGCTATTATCCCTGCGGGCACACAAAAAGTCCATACCAAGATTGCTTCCTTTTTGTTTCTTTTTATGCTGATGTCTCCTAAGATATGTCTGATTCATGGAGCCTAAGTCACATGACTGCATGCTAGTTGCAAAGGATGCTGGGAGTTTCGGTTCAGACTTGACCACTGTGGAGGCTGAACTCATGAGGTGGGACTCTCCTCAAATGCAGAAAAGGTTTTCAAAAGATGAAGGGAAGATATGATTATACTAGATGTTTACTAAAACATTGGATGGATCTCTCTCTCTCTCTCTCTCTTTTTTCCCCTGGCATTTAGGTTTCTGTTCTAGTCACTTCTTTAGCCCATCGGCTGTATTCCATACTATATATCCCAACATTTTTATATTTGAATATTTGCATGTGTCAAGTAACTGGTGTTTGTTCCACAATCTGAACTGTATTGGCTAGGTTAAGAGTTCACTGTTGAATGTGCCAAACCTTCAATTTTTAGTTAACCAGCAATACAACCTTATTCAAATACATAATGGTCTGTAGCATTTTTATACCTTAGCCATCCTGTGCCAAACTGCTTTTCTTTTAAAGCTTTCTTTAACACCATCAACCTCTTGCTCTTTCTTGAGCGAGAATTATTTCCCATGCCCACATATATCTGGCACCGAACTCATAGATTCTGCACTGGGAGTTTCAACTATGGCTTTATACACCTCAAAGTCTATTTAGTGGAAGACCTGTGTATGAAAGAGATCATCTGTTTCAGAAGCTGACCAATGCTAAAATATCAAAGCCAACAGCAAACCTGACCGTATCAAAGGGAAAAAAAAAATACGCCACACTCCCGGAGTATTTTTACAATGTGATAAGCACTGAACTGCAGGCTAGAAATTGTAAACAATAGAAACCAATATCGCACAGTACCTTAACTATCTAAAAATTAAATTAAAAAAAAAAGAAGACGGAGAGAAAGAAAGATTAAATAATAGTCACTACTCTCTGGGGTGGTAAGACCGTGTCTAGTGATGGAAGCAGATACATGCAGCATGATGGAAGAGGAAGGAAGCAACCCAGGAGCTGCAAGGGGTTTTGTGTGATGGGAGGAGCATTTTGTGTGTCTGCCTGTGTCTTTCATTCACAATTATTTGCATAGGGGCGCCTGGGGGGCTCAATCAGGTTAAACATCTGACTATTGATTTTGGCTAGAGTCATGATCTCACGGTTCTCAGGGTTCCAGCCACGTGTCTGCTTGGGGTTCTCTCTCTCTGCTTCTCTCTCTCTCTCTCTCTGCCCCACCCTCATTTGTGCGCTTCTCTCCTTCAAAAAATAAATAAATAAACTTCAAAAAAAATTATTTGCATAGAGAGGGCACCACTGTGGAGAAATGTTAACATGTGGGCATCTGGATGAAGGGTATATGGGATTCCTTGTACTATTCTAACCATGTTTTGGTAAGTCCGATATTATGTCAATATCAAAGTTAAAAACAGAATCAAAAGCTTCTCTGCAATTATGACATAATAAGTAGACTACACTTTCCCAATACTGTTTCTATATCTGGTTTGTAGGCAAGGAATCTATGTCTCTAGAAAGTTCCAGTCTGCTAAGTGTTTGATACATTCTTGACTTTTCTTAGTGACACTGTCTGCATGTAGAGGGAAATATCAAGCTGAACTCTTACTCTGGGCTTGATTCCCATCAACAAGAACAATAGAATTCTTAAAATGAGTATGACAGAGACTTTGGAAGAAAGCGATCTTGGAGTTTCTAAAAATGAAATGTTGGCAACAGAGATAAAGGTACCCCAGATTTTAGAACATCATATTCTTAAGAGTCAGATACAATATGATTCTAATCTCATGATCAAGGTTTCTAAAAAGTATTCAAGAGAGTCAAGAGGTTCTAGAAATTCTTATATTGGAATAAGCAATTAGTCTAAAGAGAAATGACAAGGAGGAGGGATCCAAAGAAAGCAGTGTGACTACACAGGGGTCCTCTGATGCACCCAAAAGATAAAAGGAGGAGGAAAAAAAAACCCAAAGGGAAATACAAGAGACTGGTGCCAATGTAAGTTTCATTTCTACATTTTCTAATGCCTAGTACGCCACACTACAGGATGGAAAAAAAGGCACAGAAAATTCAAAACGCACCTTCTCAGTCATCACAACAGGACAGCGCTATGATTGACAGAAATACACCAACACATACTGTTATTGAAGATATGAAATCTCTCCAGTGGCAGAAGACGTAAAAACTTACGGCAATACCTCAGAAACAGGAGCTAAAACACAGTGCTCCCTGCCAGCTATAGAATGCCTCTGGTCTCCCAAATTTCCCCACAGAAACAGGAACCTCTCTTTGCCCAAGTTCATACCTTCCTGGCCACCTAACGGTGGCCTTTGGAAAGTCTGGATGTACCTATTAGGTGCAAATAATGATATAAAAATACCGGGGCACACTTGAGTGTTTGTGGCAAGACCAGATAAAGTGGTCAGTTTCTCAAGATAATCCCCCAAAAGACTCCGGCTTCACACGTGCCCAATTTATACCCCTTAATCCATCCCACGACCCTGACCTAAAACTGGATATTTTCGCAGTATCAAGTTATGGTTATGAGTGTGAATGTATAAATGTTTGACATTGCAGGCAGACTATAGTCACTTCTTGAACTAGCCAGCAGGAGGACAGTCTTGCACGATTAAATAATGAATTGAGGGGTGCCTGGGTGGCTCAGTCAATTGAGCGTTGGACTCTTGATTTCGGCTTGGGTCACTGATCCCCGAGTCATGAGATTGAGCCCCGCCTCAGGCTGCTCTCTAAGAAAAAAATTTTAAAAAATAATGAATTGATTATAGCTTTTCCTTTAATTGAACAATTTGTTAAGCTCTCTCATTTTTGTGAGAGGCTTGAGTACCAATTAACTGACTCACATTGGCTTGGATTTTTCCTGCGGCATATTATGTTACATCTTCCTTTTCAGCCTTATCATAGACTTAGGACGATTTAGTGTTTCAGCTAACTGTACCGATTATTGTCATTTTAATTGGATGCACAAATTGTTTTATTAGGCCACTGGCAGCCACCTCTTTAGGCCATTGGTTCTCAACACTGGCGATGTCTGGTGACATTTTGGGATTGTCGAAACCTGCTAAACATCCCCCCATGCACAGGACAGCCCCCACAAAGAGCTATCTAGCCCAAGACATCTACTGTTGGAGAAAACCTGCAGACACTGTTAAATGGCCTCTCGTATGTCCCAGCCAGCTCCCACCCAAGTGGCTCCTAGGAACTGGCCATTTTAGGCCTTTGCATTTTGCTTGTCTTCTTTGATCTCCGCACAGGGAGTGGAAACACTCCTAGCTGAATTGTGATCCTGCCAAGACCTTTTTCCTGTCACTTTTTTTGAAGCAACATGCTCTCCGGGTGGGTGGTCTGTGACACTCTGGCCTCAAGCTCACTCAGCCCTGGGACCAGACAGCCCTGGGACCCAGCCCAGCCACAGTTTGGTCTCTCAGCGTCTTTTGATCTAAGCTTGCTGCCCCTCACCAGACTCCCAGGCTTCCTTATGCCAGACGGTTAGTGGGTAGGAAGAGGGGTTTCTGTTTTTAAAAGCTTACCCAGCCTGAAGAGATCTGCACCGGGCCTGCATAGGGACTGGGACACCTCACCCTGCCCTGTCCCCACAGTCTCCCAGTAGGGCTGCTTCTCCACCTGCTGCTCCCTCGGGCCATGTTATACACTGAATGTTTGTGCCCCCTGCCCCCAAATTCATAGGTCGAAGCCCGAATCCCCTGTGTGGCTCTATTTGGAACTGGGGCCTTTAAGGAGGTAATTAAGGTTAAATGTGGTCATAAGGGTAGGTGCCTAATCAGATAAGATGAGTGTCTTTAATAAGAAGCACCCAGAGAACTTGCACCCCCTCTCCAGCCCCACTACTCCCCTGCAGGAACGCACTGAGGAAAGGCCATGTGGGGACATAGAAGGGGGTTGTCGGCAGCCCAAGGAGAGAGCTCTCACCAGAAACTAAATCAGCCAGAACCTTGATCTTGAACTCCCAGCCTCCAGAACGGGTGGGCATAAATTTCTGTTGCTTAAGCCACCCAGTCTGTGATATTTTGTCATGGCAGCCTGAGCAGGCTAAGATAGGCTGTCTGCACCGAGTGCCTGACCCTCTATTAACTCACTTTGACATTTGTCTTTCTCACTCGTGTCTCCTTATTCTTTAAGACCCTCCCTACCTTGTGCAACTTAAAAAATAAAACTTTCCTTTTTTTATTATTTAAACCTTTTAATTTATTTTAGAGAGAGAGACTGAGCGGGGGAGGGGAGCAGAGGGAGAGAGAAAGAATCTTAAGCAGGCTCCAAACATAGCATGGATCCCAACTCAGGGCTCAATCCCACGACCCTGGGGTCGTGACCTGAGCTGAAATCAAGAGTCGGATGCTCAACCGACTGAGCCACCCAGGCGTCCCCCAAAATAAAATGTTTCTAGTATTTCTCTCTTTTACTAAAGTTTCAGGGGAGAGTCGACTTGTCAAATCCTCCCTTATTTCTCAGCTCTGAGATTGTTGAAAATATATACGTGTGTCTCCTTCTGCCAGCCCCGGGATTTGTGACTTTGGAGAAGCCAACCTCCCCCTCCTGCAAAATTATATCTATAATTATAAAATCAATTATTTACCATTTTAGTAGCATTGCCACAGTGCCACTTCAGTTGGTATACGCAGTAACTGTGGGTTATATATCTTGGATACTGAGAGCTGATGGGGGGCGGGGGAGAGGGGAAAGTGGGTGATGGGCACTGAGGAGGGCACTGGTTGGGATGAGCACTGGGTGTTGTATGGAAACCAATTTGACAATAAATTATATTATAAAAAAAAAGGATTTGAAAAAAAAAAAGAAAGAAAACGGAGACATGTAAAGATCTCTATTTCTCAGTCATATTTAAACAAGCACCTGGCTAGCCTTCATGCAACCAAACGTTCCTCTTCCAAACAAAAGATCCGCAACTAAATTGCTTTGTGTACACTCTAATCAATGGATGCTTAATACCTCATTGAGACGCGTGTGATTCCTACTTGAAGAGTGCCTGATCCATTGAGAAAATTATTTTTGAGTGGCTGTCTCAGAACACATTTTTATTTATTTATTTTTATTTATTTATTTTTTTCAACGTTTATTTATTTTTGGGACAGACAGAGACAGAGCATGAATGGGCGAGGGG